GCTCCGTCTACAGGGCAGCTGACGTCATACCCAACCGGTGCGCCTCTTTTGCTGTCTGCCGCCCCGGATCGCAGCCGGAGAACGCGGTCCCAGAGGTTCTCCTGGCTCATCACTCCACCTTCCTCTCAGGAGAGCTACAGAAGCTTTTTGTTGGAGGGCCTTTCATCAGCGAGAGATCATTTCAAGATGCTCCACGGCTGCACAACGCCTCCCCAGCTCTGCTATGCCAGCCCCTCCCGTCAGACGACCTCGGCTTCTGGAAGTTCAATTTTCCCGGACTATGCCAACACGGGGCCCTCTAGGACAACAAACAGAGCTCAAGGGAAGATAACCAGGTGTCGGTTTGCTGGAGGTGTGTTGATGACACAAGATATGGTATAACATCATTTTATGATGAAATGGCTTTTAGCCAGGCTGTCAGCACAGATGATCTGACAAGCGGCCCCATCACACACACTCATCACGAATGAGCCTTTGTAAGGTTGTTTCATTCACTGCCAGCGATGCCAACACATGCTCCCGCGGCTCGAGCAACCTTCACCTATAAGGCGCTGCGTTATGAAAGCGCGCACGCAGCTCTCAGTGCCCGCCGTTCACGTCAACGTTAACGTGAGACCGCGGTACAAGCCCAGTAACGTATCTCGCTCTCTCACCAGCTCACATCAGCATGCGAGTTCACAGCATCAACGCGTGCCCGCTTGATAACTTAATAACGAGTGGAAATGAGCGAGCGCTCCAGATGGATAAGCGAACCATTTTCATCCGGGGATTCACGCTGCAGTACATCTCAAACCTGGTGCGGAGGAACTCTAATGACGTTTTTCTGTCATTTCTAGAACAGATCTCGTCCCCTCTCTCAGAAGCTTAGGAAATTCTGATTTAAATGTAATTTTCCAGAGTCTCAGAAGGAGAGGAAAACGCAGGGTTCCTCTCTCGTCGCTTCCTGGTCCCAACGAACCAGAAAGATGAGATTTATTCTAGATTTGTCAATTTTGAACTGTGAGAAATAACACTCCATTAATGTGCCCGAGCCGCTCTGCAGCCGCCGCACAGAGCAGGGAGGAGAATTCTGCTTTATCTGGACACCTGCTGCTTCTGAGCAGTTTGTACAGACAGGTTGCAGCAGTGCGACTCACGTGAACCGGTTGAGTGATATCAGCTGTTTTCTGTCAGCAGATCTCAGTCACACATGTCAAACCTCACAGAGGCACACACATTTAACGAGCTGTGGGGGCGCTGTGGTTCTCCACACAGCAGCCCATTTAAATGTTTTTGAAGTGTCGCACGGGTTTTTTGAATGTGATTCTTCAACACTTTGCCTTGAGCTGCAGAATCATCAGAGTTTTTCATTCACACAGACAGCAAGTGACTGTTGCTTACATAACTGGCAGGAGATGTATGCACTCAACCCATGTGCCACATTGTGAGACAGATGCTGTGTGGGGCACACCCAATCTGCTCTCCATTGGAGTAGGGTACATCTCATGTATTCTGAACAGGGGATGGATGTGATGTCCAAAGACAGTCCCTTTCGGCACGGGGACCTGGGACCTTCTACCCAGAGCTATGGCTCAGACACGGCAGAAATCCTGCGAGCAGCTGTGGATGTGTAGCAACACAAGAGAATGTTCAATGTCAACTATAATTATCGTGGAGCCACGGGACGATCCACCACTAGGGGTGAACGTGTCTGCTCACAGCCTGTGGTCGTAATGCTTCTTCACCTCCCTCTCTCCCTCTGATAACACGTTTTCTGAACCGAGCTCAGGAGGAGGGACTGACAGCTCCTCTGTCCCAAGTGTGTGAACAGGCATACGACACTTGTTATCGGGACGCTCGTGGAACCTGCCGTGGAGGGAGGATGCTCTCCTCCAGGCAGGAGGAGCGATCAGGAGTAACTCAGAATAGGCCAGCACCTGTGGTCTGGCCGCTGTGCGGATCCTTTTGAGAGGATGGATCTCTCTCAAGATGTAGTGCATACGATTCAGGATTCACATGTTGCAACCACCACAGTGCTGTTCACATCAAGTGGTCAGTTTTTCAGCGCTGCTGTACAGAGAAAGGTGTAGAGGCCATTTCATGTTCACTAGGTGGTGTGCCGTCTTTTCTGCAGCAGCTGATGGACAGAGATCTGGCATTCAGCTCGTGTAAAATGTTCACTGCGGCCATCTCTTCCTGTCACGAAATTTTCGAGACAGAACAACTTTAATCATCCGCTGATGAAACATTTTGTAAAAGGTGTACAGAGAAGGCGTAGAGGCCACTTCATGTCCACTGGACGACATACTGTCGTTTTCTGCAGCATTCGATGGATAATCTGGCGTCCAGCACGATTATCGTATTTTGCAGCCATGTTTTTCTTCTTGTCTCAAAGTTGTCAAAGACGGAACAACCTTTAGTCATCCTCTGATGGAGCATTTTGACTCAGATTGAAATAGCAGCTGTGGGCCTGTTTGCGACACGAGAAAACGCTCAGCATCAATTATGGTTTTCTCTGAGCCCGTGAGACGAACCACCGCTGGGGGTGGATGCGTTTGCCCACAGCCCATGGTCCAAAATGCTTCTGTACACATTTTTCCTCCACCTCCTCTGATTTTATGGTTCCTGAACCGAGTTCAGAAGGAGGGATTGACAGCTCTCCTGGTGGCCCCCGAACGCGTGAGCGCACCATGGTTTCCAATCCTGCAACGCCTACTGTTGGGGCGCCCGTGAAAACTGCCGTGGAGGGAGGACGCTGTCCTCGAGGCAGGAGGAGCGACCAGGAGTTTCCCAGAAATAGGCCAGCACCTGTGTGTCTGGCCGCTGAACGGATCCGCTTAGAGAGGATGGGTCTCCCACAGGATGTAGTGCGCACAATTCAGGTTTCACGTGCTGCATCTACCACAGCGCTGTACACATCAAAGCGGACAGCTTTTCAGCGCTGGTGTACAGAGAAGGGTGTAGAGGCCATCTCATGTCCATTAGGTGGCATGCTGTCCTTTCTGCAGCAGCTGATGGACAGAAATTTGGCGTCCAGCATGATTAAAACGTACGCTGCAGTCATCTCTTCCTGCCACGAAGGGTTTGGAGACAGAACAGTTTTTAATCATCCGCTGATGAAACATATTCTAAAAGGTGTACAGAGACGCAGGCTTGTTTCACACCCACTTGTTCCACAGTGGGATTTAACGCTGGTCCTGCAGGTCCTGATCAAAGCTCCATTTGAGCCTCTGGATCAGGTCCCAATTAAATTCTTGTCTCTTAAAACAGCCCTGCTGCTGGCTTTAACATCCGCTAAGAGGGTGATTGATTATCTGCCTTCTCTGTTGCTCCATCATGTCTTAGAATTCAGGCTGACGGCAGCTCAGCTGATTTAAGACCAAATCCAGCTTTATGCCTAAAAACATCACGAGCTCTTTTAAATCAAGAGTGATATCGTTGGAGGGTCCCCCCCCCCCCCCCACACACACACACAGATCAGAAGTAGCTTCTCTTCATCTTCTCTGTCCGGTGCGGGCGTTGACGTGTTACATAGCGTGCACAGCTGCAATGCATCAACATTTGTTTGTGCATTATAGAGATGCATCTGTAGGTCGCCCGTTATCCACCCAGCGCTTGTCACACTGGCTATGTGAGGCCATTTCTGAAGTCTACAGAGCATCAGATTTAGAGCCTCCTGTCAACCTCAGAGCACACTCGACCAGGGGTATTGCATCTTCGACTGCCTTGCATAATGGTATGTCAATGAAGGACATTTTGCACTGCGGCCGCATGGTCAACACCCTGCTCATTCATTCGCTTTTATATACGTGATGTGACGGCTCGTCCCATGACACATTCTGTCCTTAGTGTTTACAGATTGACTATTGTTGTTTCATGGAACTCCGTTTAACTCACATCTGTCTGCATGCATTGCAGTGTGAGATGTTATCAATAACAAATTGTGATTGTTATTTTGGTTCTATTGTCACTAATCAGTTCACGACTATTGTTACCAATCAGTTCATTTGATTAATAATCAGCTCTCCTGTTATTATTAATCTGTTCATACTGTTCAGCCGTAAACCAGTTGGTTCATGGCTCTTTTCAGCATTTTTCCCTCCCCGTTGAATTTTCCGGGGCGTTCATGCATTCAGAACGCATAGTTATACAACATGCGTCTGTGCATGGCACATAATTACGCAATGCGTAATTACGCACATGGGAAGTTGAGTGACAAGACGTTTTTTGGGCAATCTTCTGCTTCATACGGTGTTCGAATGGACCCAGTGAGGCGAGGACAACATCCGCTTCGCCCTTAACCCATCAGCGACAGCCTTAAAGGGCGAAGCTTATACGAAATAGAACGTTGGTCACGTACTGTAACCCCAGATTCTATGAGTATAGGCGTAGCCCTTTAAACGTCGGGCCTCACTGGCTCCTAAATGGCTGAAGAAAAAGCTATTTTGGGAGCCGATTTCCCGCTCTTAACGTAATTTATACGGACCGGGTGGGGCCCACACAACAGGTGGGCGTGGACTAAATTTTTCAGTGCAATGCTTCGCATATCGGGATAAACCCATCAGTGACAGCCTTAAAGGGCTACGCCTATACTCATAGAATCTGGGGTTACAGTACGTAACCAACGTTCTAACTGATGTGGTTTGCAACCAGGTGTGAAGCAGCTGGAATGATCAGCACCTCCTGATCTGAGGCCATGGTCCTGTGGACTGCCCTCTCTGGGTTGTGACTGAGGTGCTGTCTCAAGTTAAGAAGTTAAGTTGTGATCTTGGGATTTTTTTTTTTCATGAGTGTGGGAAAAATCGACAGAAGGACTGGTTCCGCTTCTCCAGTGTTGTGTACTCTGCTGGTCTGTTAGGGTGAAGAGGTGAGCTGAGCTGCAAGGCAAGGTCTCTGTTTATCATTTGATCTACATTCCTACCTGTGGTCACAAGCTCTGGGTAGTGCCCAACATATCAAGTTGAATCAGCAGTATGTCTTTGTATTGTTACATTTTTTGATTAGCTGTGGGTTTTCTGCAGGAACCAAAGACCGAGGAGGACGAGCTATCTTTACCGTCTCCTGTTTAAACTCTGTGTGGTTGAATCCCTACTGCAACAGTCCAGAGCTTCTCCGCCTCCTCCTCTACTACACCTTCACCCTCAGGTAGGCAGCTATAACCTCTTCTCAGCTCCCTCTCAGATAAGTCTGTCTCTCTGATATAACTTCCCATGTGGATCAGGAAGGAAGTGCGAGCCTTGGGGCTGACGGTGCTGGTGGACGCCCGCGGAGCTGCTCCTCCCTCGGCGTTGTTCTCCGCCTTCAGGTTGCTGCAGGTGAGGAAGGGTCACATGATCAAGACAAAAGTGAGACTCGGACAAACGTTTTAGATATTTTTCCAGCAGCGGTGTGTAGGAGCAGTTTCTTTTTTTAATCCAGATCAGTAAAAACTGAATCAGGCAAAGGCTCCGGTTAATGGAATTGTTTCTGAGTACAATAATTTTCTCCTGGTTCTGTTTACATGTCTGTGTTGTAGCAAAAAGATACGGGAGACAGGAAGACCCAGTTTGTTGGATTTTAACTATTTATTAGGAAAGTAATTACAAGCAAATGACAAGTAGCACCTGTTTAACCTCAGACTGTCACTGTGCTCATTTGAACAAGGTTTTTTAGTACGACAAACCAGCAGTGTTTCCAAAGGGTTGTATGGATTGGAGGGCAGCATGAGCTAACACTGAACCATGAACAGATATAAGACTGTACAGGACAACCCTGTTAAAGCTGTTGTTTTAATTAAACAAGCCTAATAAGTTACTTTTCTGATTCTCACTGCTGTGTGTGTGCAGGAGGACACGCCAGGCTCCATCCACATGATGTTAATCCTGCTTAACAAAGAGTCGTTTCTGTGTCTGGACAAACCTGCTTCCACCCAGGTAACACCTCACACCTGAACACACTCCTGACTGCTGCTCACCATGCACACTCATCCCTCTGTGTTTTTTTTTTTGTGTGTGTGTGTTGCTAGGTGGAGATGCTGAGTTCTTTGAAGTCCCTGCAGAAACACGTGGACCTCCGGCAGCTTCCTGCAGACTTTGGAGGATCGTTCCGCTTCAGTCAGAACAACTGGATCAGCTTCAGATCGGTCAGCACTCCCATCAGGCAGATAAACCAACATGTTACTTTTCTTTTTTTATCTCTGGTTCTGTTTTATTAAATGGGTTCAGTTCTCTCTGAGTCATATTGATGTTCACAACAATCATACTTTTACATTGGTGTAAACTAATTTTGTAAATACAAAAATAAGTGGTCTTAAAGTTGTTTTAGGTGCAAAATGAACATGAACATTCTTGCATCACCTGACTCTGCAGTGGTGTAGATACTTAAAGGCTCAGATCCACACTCAGCGGAGTAAAATAAATGTCATATAAGTGCCAGCAACTTCTAGTGTTGTTGTACGGTGCAGGAAAATAATAGGGAAAGCTCAGTTTAGGAATTGTTGAATTTGTTCTTTGTTGACAAACATACAGAATATAAAACACCATCCATGTCACCAGAGTGAATTCAGGGTCTTATAAACCCATAATGTGGAAACATTGATACAAAGCAACACCTCTGAACATTAATTGTAGCCATGTTCTGATCCAGTTACAAATCAGAGTACAAATCAGGCATTTTTCACTGATTGTACTGGAGCAGCTGCCATAATCCTTCATGCTGCAGTGTTCTCGGTGTATGACAGTCATAATAAGGTAGCTGTTGTCATGTAAAGGGCCAACGTGGCTCCAACACCTGAAACCTAAAATACAAACGGTGAGCAGTTCAGGAACAGGCTGCCAGACACGCAGTGACTTGTGTTCTTTCCACCAGAGGGTGGATCAGCTGACCAGACAGTGTAACGATGTGATCCAGCTGCTGCAGAAAAGCATCAGCATCCTGCAGAGCACTCCTGTACCTGCTGCCAAACAGGTAACACACAAGTTCACAGACACTACAGAAACATTCTGTGACCTCTGACCTTGCTGTTCAAGCCCCACCCCCCACCCCCCAAGTTGTCCCAGTTAAATGTATGTCCTCTCTGCAGGATGCTGAGCTGCTGCTGTCCAGGTACAAGGCAGTGATGGGTAGCATCCTAGGAGACATCCAGTTGGTCTGGCTGCAGCGAGAGGGCGGAGCCTCTCTGTCTGTGCTCCGCAGGGAGGAGGGAGGTGATGGTGTGTCAGAAGAGCAGCAGGCGGCTGTGGAGGAGGTGTCATCTCTGTACGAGGAGGTGGACGAGCTGCTGCACCGCCTGGTCACTCTGTACAACGCCAAGACTCAGGAACTCAACTTTGTCAAGGACTTCAGGAACCTGGAGCAGGACTTCAGCCTGGTGAGCCACCTGTGCAGGTTTCAGCACATCTGATGATGTCGTGGGTCATACCTGCCATGTTTCTGTAGGTCTTCAAACTCAATCTGAGGCTTTACTGCCACTGCAGTGCTGCCAGGTTGTTGTTAAACATCTCACATTGTTCTGTGGATCTGTTCTTTTTACTGGCAGCTGCATTTCTAACATCCTTCTACCAGTATACCCACTGTCCCTCCTCTAGACATGTCCAAACCACTGTCCCTCCTCTGGACATGTCCAAACCACTG